CAAACTTTTTGTTGAACTATTTAAAAAAATACTATTATCTTTTTTAAAAAGTAAAAAAAAAAATCAAAGTTTTTCACTATACACTTACAGATGGTGTTGTTCATTTTGGCTTTATATATAAATTTTTACAAACAGTAATGTAGTTATTATTATTATTTTCTTTACAGTTAAAGTTTGTGAAAGAAATATTTTTTCGCTTTTATGTCCACTAGCGCAATAGCATTCATAAAAAGTCATGCATGTAGCTTGTTGAGCAGAACCCACTGAAATTTTGGTTTTAAATATGCGAGGAAAACATGCTGTTATGATTCTCACTTTATGGTAAGACACACACATCTTGCACTAGACGTTACCGTAAGTGATAGCCTAAAGGAAGAAATATGCGTATTTTGCTGCTTAGTGTATTCTAATGACATAAAACACTTAACTAAGCACAGGCAACTTGTATTAAAATTGAAAGAACAAACAAACTGAATATACCTACATACCCGAAGGAGACTTCAGAATATAGAGAAAAATTACAATATTCGGTTAAAGCTGTACCACAAAGATATTCTCTGGAAAAAAAAAAGCTACTCTTATGGTAAATGAACAATTTTGCAAGAATGTGGATGCATAGAATGCAGCCGCCAGTTACGCCTCTACATAAAGACGCGTATCCGTGAAATATAGTTTGTGGTATTTTCAGATGAAAATTAATTTCCTGAGAAGTATCAAATACTTAGACCCGCTAATAATAGCAAACTTGTTCAGGAGAGTACTATGTTTAGTAACTTGACTGTATTTTTCTAGTGCATGTGAAATTTTAACAAGACGAACATAATTTTTCTATTATGAAACAGAAAATAAAGTGAGGCGTATGTAATTGAAAACACGAAAAGACAGTTATTTCTACTGGATTATGATTAAATACACAACTTTCTTTCTCTTGAGATAGACTTCTGTCGAACTAAACACTCTGATCTCTAAATATGACTACATTTGCCGATCTCTTGGTAGAAACTGAACTAAAGAAGCATGCTTCAATTCTACAGGTAAACTCGGTTTCTTTCCCACTCAACGGTGTCATCTCTTGACACTTGCTTTCTCACAGCATTGGTCAGCTGTAATTTTCTGTCTTTTTCTTTTAGCAAAGCCACGTCTCGCTATCTGCTGTGTCCACCGAGAGGAATCGAATCCCTGATTTTAGCATTGTAAATCCGAAGACTTGCTGCTGTCCCACTGGGTGACGTCAGCTGAAACATATAGGCAGTATCGATTCGGCAAACAAAGGAAATTACAGTCGCTAATCTTTTCAACTCGGATGCTATGTATCACTACAATATCCTCTCGGACAGAATAGACAATATCTTCTATAGAGAACAAAGAAACAAGTTTATGCTAACACTGCTTAGAGACAAACTACGTAAAAATTTGTATATTACTAAAGATGGTAGTAAACATATGATATGCCTGCATACCACAATACCAATACTATCCATGATAATTCTTCATATCTTCAGAAATACACATCAATTCACATAATGTTATTTCTATGACGAATAAAGTCTTGCTAAATGCCCGCTATAATAGACTAGCAGTTAAAAGTTTGTAGGAAAAACATGAAATACCTTTTCATGTTCTTTTAGTTCTTCATAGACTTTTTCCTCCAGTCTTAGTTGGGTGATTAGGTCAGTGTAAATATTAATGGAAAGTTAAAAAATAGAGGATAACTGACGTTTGCCATAATATAGGTTGTCGTAACAAAGAGGTTGGTTAATAATTCCGACCTGAGGATTAGATATGGTGAAACACCTTATCGGCAACGGCTTGTAACAAAAATTGGTATTATTGCACTATCGGTATTAGGCAATCAAGGTATAAAGCGCTTAACTACTGGTTATCTATTGTTAAATTTATTATGGTGTTATATTACACTTCTCCGTTCAAAAAAACTTCATTCTCTTGTAGCTATATTTCTATTTCAAATGAGTATTCAGTTTGATTTATTAAAGTTGGAATCATTATGACAATCTAAATGTCTTATCAGTATATTAGCTATAAAAGTATGTTGGTTTTCTTCTTACTCCAACACATGTGTGGGAATAAGTGCGGTCTGGTCAATACAACAACAACAACAACCACGGTTGCTGTCATACATATTATCCATTCTCATCGATAAAGCGTTTTATGCTGTGCGACTACAGTGTATGTTTTGTAGTTCCCGTACGCTATTAGTGAATACTTTTTTCATTCTCATCTATGAATTATTCTGAAGAACTACTTATTATTCGTTACTTTTGTAAAAGTTTTGTAGCAAACGTGGGCTGGCCTGTTTTATTTTATAGTCTTATATTTGTTAAATATCACAACTGAAAACAGTGAAGGTATACCCAATGATAAATCAATGTATTTTAATTATTATAAATTTTTGGTTTACGACATTACATATTCCTAATTAGACTGGTATATTGAATTAACTAAGATATTTAATGGGTTAATATTTAATTTTGATCTATATAGGTAGTTTGCTTTGACCAAAAGTGACCAATAGTCTGTTACATCATATCGGAAACTTAGAAATGACTTTAAGTGTTTCATTAACATTTTGATGCGTAATGTACGTAAATTCTTGCGTTAATCAAGTGCTGTGATTCACCAAAGCACAGCACTTATAACCATAAGATCTTTGAAGGTTGTAGAACAAAAACATTTGTAATATATATATATATATAATATTTCTAGAAAAAAAACACACACAAAAAAAAAACATTAACTTCTCTCGGTTAGTTGAAAATAAATCCTATACCGAGCCGTTTCACTTAGCAAACTAAACGAAGAAGTAAAATGTTTAGGTATAGGATTTCTTTTCAACTGCCAAAGAGAAGCTGAGGGTTTGTTTTTGTTTTTCAGAAGTTTGAGAAATGTTCGAGTTCCCACCTCAAATATGTATGAACAATAGTTCTATCCCTGATTCAAAGGCGGCATCCACTGGTCAGAAGTTTAAGTAAAGAGGATGTTTTAATTATGTGACATTACGTCTAGTTTTTTCCCATCTCCCATCCTTATTTTAAGTGGAAGTTTACAATGTGTGCCAAACAAAGAGCAGGAAAAGGTTCTGACGAGCTTTATATGTATATTATGTAGAACAAGTGTAGAAATGTTGCAGGCGGAATATGGAAATATTACGAGACTTTTCTTTACTAAGACTACGAGACCTTTTTCTTTACTAAGACTCCGAGACCTTTTTCTTTACTAAGACTCCTTGATAATGAAGAATACTTGCAACATATATCGCTAACGCTATAGTGTTGTGTAGGATGGCACGATGTTCTTTGTTTAGTATGATTTCAAACCCAACTATATACTGATGGTTTCTATTATTTGTTCGAGCTTTTTTAGAAATATGTAATACCTCCCATAGTAACACAGAATACGTTACGTATTACGTAACATTTAGAACTACAAAAAGTCGCCTAGACTTAGAAATTAAAAGAGCATTTTTAAAGAAAAATAAATAGTTAGCTAAGCATGACTACTAAATTTACAAAAATCCTTGCCAAAGCCGTTGTTTCTATAAAATACTTCTATTTAAGTTTGCCAATTAAAATTGAAATACATGTATATCTAACTCTTTTTATGGTCTCCCAAAGAAATTCGTGACACTACGTAAAAATGTAAAGACTGCTATAAGTTCTTAATTAGCACGAAATTATAAAATAAAACAGAACAATGCGGTAGTTATAAAGACGTTATTCGAAACTACTGAAGCTCTCATTTGACTTTAGTTAATACCCGGTATTAGTCGAAATGTTTTAATATTTGTGAAAAAGTCATCTTAATATTTTGTGTGTGATATTTATTAATAAAAACCATTATTTTTTTCCATACTTTGCCCACTTTCGTGCATTGTAGGTATCATGTGATTATGTATTATATAATTTTGTTGTATTTCATGCTGGGATATTCACATGATCAAAAATGAATACCTTGAACATTTTTAACTGCCAAAATCACATTATTAAATGCTATATTTTTAATGCTGTAATTTAGATGTTGGCTAGAGGGAGCTGCGTGTCATAATAATGACGTTAAGATCGGCCTAGAAAGTTCTAAAGATTTTATGTCAACTTTCTTTAGAAATTCTAGGAGTATGTTTGAAATTAAGCACAAAACTACACAATGGGCTATACAGGTATCGAAAGCCCGTTTCTAGCGTTGTAAGTCCACAGACATCCCGCTGTGCCACTGAGGGGCACATACAGTGTATATAAGGGGTTCAGAGAAGGATTAAAGAGTCGAGAAGATAGGGAGTTGTTTCTAGCGGGTAAAGTGAATCAGTATATTTTCATGAAGTTTTGGATCTGTGTTAGCTATTGCACATATTGGGTTACTTTGTGTAAGTAACTTGATTGTTTGTCACACTATATTTATATTAGACACAGTGTTTAAGATTGTAGAAACAAATTTATGGTTACCTCGACTGGCCGTAGAATTATTTTTACCGGATATATAAGAATCCACCAACGAAAGAATCCACTCTTTCGTTTCATCAGAACGTAATTTTAAGTTAAAATATGAAAAAATAACAACGTTTTATCTTAATGTATACACAGTGTATTTCCTTTATTTTTGCTAGAATACAAAAATTACAACTTGTTATAAATTTTGTATAAACTTATAGAGAGTAAGTTAAATTGAAGAGTAATATATTTTTACAAGACAGTCACAAAGAAACGATGAAATATTAAAACAGTAAATTACTATCATTTGTTGATTTCATCCATACTACTGTGTCACATCATGAGGATGCAAATAATATATCATAGTTCATTTTTTGGAGAGTTATTTTGAGTTTGTTTTACTTGCTTGTATTGCATCTAAACATTTTATTTGTAAACAGAAAAAAAATATAACAGGTGGTGTTTATACACTATTTGGTGGTACCTTCCATTCTACAAAGACATTTGCGAGCCGGTGATCTACTCTGTTCTTGTGTACGTTCTCGCAGAACAAGTGAAATCACGAGAACAGCTGAGTGCCAATGAAAGAATTATATGTGAGGTTGATCATACAAGTCCGACAGAATGTTTATTGTACTAAGCGAGTAAGCTTCATCCTTTTATTGTCACTAGGAAGGGTAAGTAGATAAGCTATTCAGGTAATTGTTAGCTTATTCTATTTCAGTATTATCCAGTAGATATTGTTCATTTCTTCATTTACAAATAACAAACTATTTCTGCGAGTCTTATTAAAATTTCTTTAACATTCTCTGTTAAAAAAGGTTTGAACCACGTGGAAATAAGTGTTTGCTATAATTATACATTTATATTACACACAGAGATTATAACATCCTCTCTCTCTTGTGGAGAACAGCTTAAATTCAAAGGTTTTATACAAAATAATATAAATGAAGTTGTCTCAACTTATTCAACATAATTGACTGATAGCCTATGTTATATGGCCGAACTTTCAATGTTATAAGTTTATGACGTGGTCATTTATCATTTGAAATATGTGCATTATACCCAGAATTTAGTAATACAAAATAACCATATTATTCAATGGCCAAAAGTATTATGAATTTAAAATCAGAGCAATTTAATGTTTTTATTTAAATCTTATACTAGTATAGATATACTGTTTAATATAACACTGAGCTAGAACACAATATATAATATATGGCATCAATGTAAGTTCACTGGGCTACATTGCATCAAATTAACTAGCATTGGGGAAGTTCTTTTCACAGGATGTTACAGGGAGAAATTGAGTTATTTTTATATGCTCAATATTAAGGGTGTTTGAAATGTTCTTATAGATATAGTCACTCTGTTAACATCATATATATACCTAGATATACCGTATGAATTGTCCAGAGTACACAGTTATTTTGCGTTATACTTATTCGTCCAGAAATTAAGGCTCTGTGTATCGTTGACTACATAAAAGGTGTATGTATATATATATGTACGTATCTATGTGTATATATATACACACACACACATATGTATCATTTGTTTTCTTCAATTTTAAGAAGAAAATACTTATAATATGAAATATAAGGCTCTTATATTTGTAAGCGAGCAGATTGTGTTTTACGCTTGCCTGTCGCTTAGCAACATTCAGTTGATCTCACGTACACAGTTTCTATAACGCGTCGACGAAAACTACATGAAAGTTTCTAGTTTCTCGAACGAGAGCGAGTACGTTGTAAATGTTGGAGCCAATTTAAACACTAAAAATAATAGAGTTGTGGAAATCATTGTTTTTTTTTTTTTTTAAACAACTCAATAAGTATTGTATACATAGTAGGAAATATAATACCCAAATATTAGGGTGAAGAAGCAAGACAACAATTGCCACAATTGTATGTTTTTCCAGTGAAATAATTTATTGATTTCTTTGCCGCATTCATAAATACCGTCTCACTTCCAGGTCTTTATCAGTATACTATAGATATGGATATGCATATTTTTGAAATTTTGGCAATTACAAAGGGCGCTACTTACATTTTCTTGTTAACACTTATATATCGGCATACTTTCTACAGAGAACTGTTCACTCTCTTCCAAATTGTTTATTTTTAGAAACCGGGTTTCGATACCCGTGGTTAGTAGAGTACAGATAGCCCATTGTATAATTTTGTGCTAATCTACAAAGAAACGGTAAAAAGGAGACCGATAATTTTGTAAGTGTGAAAATGTCTTCAATGAAAAAAATGACCTCACATGAACCTTTGATGGGTATTGAGGATGTACATTTTCTAAAGATATCCAGCTCCAGAAGAATGCTTTAAAGCATTTGATGTAAATATGATTAAATAGATAATTTAATCCAAACGTTGTAAACTTAGAGTAAAATTTGACTAGTTACCAGAATTTGAATACCCCTGTTCGTTGAATATAATAGACACACAACCTTAAATACATGAACTGCATTACTTTGTTGAAAATGTTTATACGTAATACGATTTTAACCTTTTCTCTTCTTCTTTCTAAATAATGGTTGCATGATGACATCGACAAAACACGCCATACATGATACTGTATGCTGCCATAGTTGATTTCCTTTTTCTTAATAAGGATTTATTAATACCATTGTGATTCTATGTACTTCCTGGCTTTAATGGTAATTTTCAAAGAGAGCCAAAGCATATTCAAATATAGATTTTGCCATTACACTATATTTTAATTATCTGTCTATTTATTCTCCCTGAAATAAAAAGATAGACAGTGAAATAACCGACTTTCTACGACACTTCAGAATCCTTTCAAGCGAGTAAGGAATTTAAACCAGAACTTGTAACCATTATAGAAACCGATAAACTGTACACACTATGTATTTATTGTGTTCTATGCTGAATTTTATTGGTCATATAGTCTTGAAATGACGTACCGAGTGCTATGCGGGCTATAACACTAAAAATCGGGTTTCAATATCTGGGGTGGGCAAAGAACAGATAGCCCATTGTGTAGCTTAGCGCTTAAAAACAAACAAATCAAAGCGAATACTTGAAGAGGCTCTTGTTACAACCAGTTAAACCTTTTAACTTTTGTTCACATGTTTGTGATATGTTTACAAGTTGGGCATGCTCTACATCGAAATAGATGTAAGATGCAAGAAGATTGTCAAAGATCTGTAATAAGAGAAATTAAAAAGTAAATTAACTAACTATAGAAAGCAAGTAAATAGAAAAATGTATATATTTGATTAAATAAGACAAATTTCCTACTTTTGCATCTTATTTGTATTGAAAGGGTGTCTTACAATTAAATGCCTTGTAGAAAACCCAGAATGTTGCTCACAACTACCTTGCTTAGTCTAATGGATAGTTCAGTTCTCCAATGTGCCAAAGCACTGATGAAACTCAGTTATAAATGTGCCTCAGTCATTAAGATGTTTCTTGCCCAAGTCCTCAGTCAATTTAAGTATTCTTTCGTCCAGATTCAGTATAAGGCATTGCACCTCCTGTCCTTGAGTCCAACTATTCTAAACAGTGACCTAGCCTGAAATATCTGAGAAGTACTCCAGGTCTTCCTTACCATTGAACATTGGAGACGGCATTAGATTCACATCATTGTTAAGGACCTTAGGCAACATCTAACACTCGGCTGAGACACCCATGACATCAGGGTCATGGATTGTTATTGGTCTCTTGGAATTTCTACATTCAGTAAATCCTTAGTCCCTGTTACTGGGTAATAAAATGACGAGTTGACATATGAAACATTCCTGCTCTGTGTAGTCTCAGGCATTCCCATGACCCCTAGTGGTTCAAGCAATGCGTTTCGCCTTACGGAAAAATTTTCAACTGACTCATAAGTTTAATTCATCAACTACGAACAGCTGCTAGACAGCACAATTGGTAGACTTCATCCTCCATTGACTCATACAGTCTCATGTTTATGGTCAGGAATGACAACAAAAATGGATGGATTTTATTAGAGACCTTTGATCCTAAGACTACTGTTCAACGAATCACCATAATCACGTTAAACTCAGAGGTAAAATGACGTCAACAGTTCTGAAGGTTCCAGATTGCATATTCTATTTTCTGATTTAATGACCAGAACAAGAATTTAGACATAACTCTTTGTGTCAGTGGCAAAAGGCTAACACCCAGGAAAGATTTCTTCTAGGCCATATTATTATCTTGGATCATGGTCAACGCTTAACATCGAATTTATTCTCTTATCCGAAGTACTTCTTCTGGAAAATGCAATTTCTAAGTTCTGCCAAACTTCAAAACTTATCTTCTGCAAAAAACTACTATAGCTTTAAGTGTTATTTTCTGTAGCAGAGTCCCATCATGGAAGCTATTTACTATCGAACTAGATAATAGAGTTAGCACAAAGGATCACATATAAAGTGTAATAAACTTAAAATAAGACCCAAAACTCGAGCGCTTTCGAATAGTTGACTATTTTTCTTCTTCTTCTTGTTCTCCTGAAGAAGAATAGTCAACTATTCGAAAGCGCTCGAGTTTTGGGTCTTATTTTAACTTTACTATCGAACGTGATAGCTGTATTGTGCCGTGTTTTATATTGGTATTTGGGGCAGCTTTACAATAGTTACA